CGCCATAGTTGCTCTGTTCCTGTGCCAGTGAAAATGTGTCCCAGAACAATCTAGAAATGAGCCCACGTAGTAAACGCTGATGGAAGTTGTAAGAGTTGCCAAAGCCAACAGTTCTCCCCAGAAATGCAGTTTTTCGTTACAAGAAATAGTTGGGCAACATAAGTTGGCTATACACGTGTAAAAATATTGCACACAGTATTTTACCAGCTCATACGTAAACTGCTCACATGGCTGCACTAAACTCAGTAGCTCAGGGAGTGAAATCAAAGACTACCGTCCATATCTGGAAACAGCATTAGCAAAGCGTTATAGGTAGCAATAATAGCTTTGAGGTGATGGTGGATCACTCCGAGGTCAAGTTGTCATGTCAACAAGTTACATGAGGGATTTTAATGGTCATTGAGCCTGACTGTATCATAAATGACTGCGATTTTTCACAAAGTAGAAAGGACGACAAGGGAAAACAGATCGTGGGACATCTAGTTGAAGGGACGTCTAGTTTGTAAGGTAGCAAGATAGTCTCCGTGTACAGTCACTTATGGTACAACCAGACAGATGACCAGGTAACAAACAGTCTGATATTTGGTGGAAGGGACGACTAGCTGTTTAGATGAGTTTGCACATGTGATGAAAAGACATCGAGCAAGTTAAATTGGTCGAGTGGTGAAAGGCATAGAGTGATTTAAGGTGTGTCAAGGATAATAGGGCTGCTTTGAAGAAGCTTGACATGACCAGTGAAACAAGCAAGTTACTAAGAGGACAAACAATCTGGCCACTAGGTCATCATGTGTTTTGTTTAATTCGCCTTCTGTTTTCTTAAAGTCGCTTTGTGTTTTCTAAAAAACACCCTGCTGTGTTTCTTAAAGTCCCTGTGTGACTAACCTGTCAGGGACAGTTAGTTAAAGACTTGTGCCATACATTAAATGGCTTAAGGTGTCCCAAAGGAGAAAGATACAGTCCACCTGATTTGTGCCAAAGACAAAGAAACTTGAGTAACCAACTTGCCAAGACCAGTGACAGACTTAGGAAGTACCTTGAGTGATTTAAAATGTTTCAAAGGAACAATACATTAAGCGATGTGCCCAAGAGAAAAGACATCTAGTAACTTGAATAGTACCAACGCTAATTCATGACTTACCAAAAAAAACATCAGGAAAAGAGTGACTTAATGTTATGAAGCAGAAAGACACAGAGTTGTGCCTCAATAAAGAAAGACATCTGGTGACGTAAGATGTTCCAAGAGCAGTAAACGTCTTACCAAAGAACATTAGTAAAGACTTACCAAGGAAGGTGAGTGAAAGTTTTGATATGTACATTGAGGAGAAAGACATCAAATTATTTAAGGTCCCCTATGGATAGTGGCCAACCTTATTAAAAAAACTTGGGTAAACAGCTCACCGAGATTAGTGAGCAAGCTGAGAAGTGTCTTGAGTGACTTTAGGTGTCCCAAACGAGAAAGACATTGAGCGATTTAATGTATGCCAAGACAATGAATGCTTTACTAAAGACATACCCCACCTTGGATGTCCCAAGGATAGAGATTGACTCTCTAAGAAACTTCAGTAAACGACTTACGAAAATCAGTGACTAGCTAGAGAAGTACACTGAGAGACTTACTAAAGAGAGTTAAAATGTCCCGCATGCTGACAAGTGATTAGACTTATGATAGAAAAGAATGACTTACCGAGAAATGTCAGTGCCCAACTTTTGCAGTGCCATGAATGTCTTAATGTGTTCTACAGGAAAAAGACATCAAGCGACCTAATGTGTTCCGAACATAATGGGCGACTTAACAAGGAACTTCTAAGTCCAACTTACCAAGGGCAATGGGTGATAGACTTGTAAAATACATACCAAGAAACTTCGGTGAACCACTTACCAATACCAGTGACAATGCTGTGAGGTACATTGTGTAACTTATAGTGTTCCTATTCCCATAAATCTCTCCTCTAAATAGTCGACATGACAACTTGACCCCAATTGTTTTCATTTTCATCTACATAAAGTCACAGCAAAATACGCCCAGGAGACCCTGATGACCTCTGCCCCCCTACGACATGGTTGTAGATGACCGCCTGTCACCGCCTAGTTGTAAACCATCCATAACAACAGCTTATCAGCTAACAACCGACACCACAACAGACCCTGGAGAGACACGATCCCCCTCTCCTGTCGGTATGTCCCTTGATGATGATGACGCTGCTGTTTGACCACAAACCACCCTCGATCCTCAGTTAACACCTGTTTTTAAAATCAGCTTTACATAATTTACTACATAAAATATATACTTTCTATCCCCCTCAGCAAAGCCAATCAACACCTCACTCTTTCTTTATTACAGTATTTAACTTACTCAAGTTTAGAGTCAAATCACTTTATTTTATGACTTTTATATATATTTCACAATATAACCATTATACTTTATTCCCTGCAAAACATTACGAAGATCACCTAATATACAGCATGAAACAGCAGCTGTATACTTAACAAAAATAGATCCTAGCTAATAAGTCAAGACCCTGGGAAGACATGATTGCTCACGCCTCTCGGCAAGTACATAATCATGATGATGACGATGCTTGACTATCCCCTGAGCCCCTTTTATTTTTCAACTTTTTAATATTTCTAGTATTTAACATACATACTTTCTATCCCCCTCCACCAAGCCAAATAAACACACACACACACATATGCCCAGGCAGGCAGGCAGGCACGCAGGCAGGCAGGCAAGCAGGTGGGCAGGCACGCACGCACACACGCATGCACACACACACACACACTCACACAGTTGCTCAAGGAAAATTACTCAACTGAATGTGAATTGTTAGTGATTGTGGCGTTTGTTTTTAACATAATGTAGAAAACTTGATAGGGAAAAAAAGCCTAAATGACACAGAAATGACAGCCAGAATTACATGTGCAAATTTTACACAGCTACTGTTCATAATTTGGGAGGAGCTCTTGTTACAGACAAGATATGTGGGTTTTCTATTTTGTAGTGTATGCATATGGGATGGGGGGGGGGGGGGGGGGGGGGGGGGGGGGGGGGGGGGGGGGGGGGGGGGGGGGGGGGGGGGGGGGGGGGGGACATTGCACACCTGGCAAAAGTATCTAGGGTATTATGATTGTACTTCGGTCACACACACATACTTTGGTCACACACACAAGATTTCTCTCAGAGAGCAAAGAGTCCAACAACAATAGGAACATTACCACCAGCCACATACAAGTGACAAATTGTACCACAACCACAAACACGGCCTAAAAGCACTATAAAAACCACTCTAAGTATATTCTGATAGTGCATTCAGTTTAGTTTATTCATAGACGAACACATCATGATCAAGAATTGGTGATCAATGAATGAACGGTGTCAAATAATTTCTACCAAGTTTACTCATTGACGTCGGCTCTGTGGCTAAGTCGATGCAAATGCTTTATAATGCCGGGATGCCGGGGTTCGATCCCAGCTGCGGGCCATGCACCTTGCGTTGGTTTTGACAGTGGTATCAAGAAAGCCGACCGTCCAGAAAGCAAAGGCAAACTACTGGACATAAATTTGCCTAGAAAAACCACACAACAGCCAGGGGCTGTTAGGGTTGGTTCTCCAACGTCCTGTAAAGGATACACACTTACAGTCTCCAAAGGATGTTCTTTCTCAAAAAGTGGCACCTAGGCTTGACTTGATCTAAGTCCATAACACATTCGGCTACATGCCGACCCATAGGGTCCCATACAGTCTCCAACAGCACATATTATAGTATAAGCTGGATCAACCTTCGGGGAAGCAGGTGAAAGTGATGCTGCTATCAAAAGATCAAAAGACCTGTGAGGTTACATAAACAGTTGCTAGCACTGACCAACACTGCGTGAAATATAAGCAGCCAATTGGCATAGTGGTCAGATCACGTATCTGCATCTCACTGTCACATCTCCATAACTACCTTCACCAGTAGCATTCAGATTTCTAATACACGGAATTCAACATAGAAGTCCAAGCACGCCAAAAAAATAAAATAACACACATCCATGTGCTTCAAAGGACTAGAACAATTCTCGTTCTTCTCCAAACTCTTCCACTGACTGACAGCCATTGAATCAGACTACCACAGGGTTTTGAGCTAGTGGTGGGTCACAATTCACTTGCAATATCTGCAGTGGCTGTAGTTACCTGACAATTTTAAGCAGCACCTGTTTCACACTCCAGGTGCCCTGAGTATTTGTTTACACTATCCTCTGTCAGTGTACTCATAAAAATGTATGTGCACTCACACTCCGTCTGACCTCTGGCCTACTTGCATGCTCAAATGATTTAGCACACAACATAAACACACACACACACACACATATATATCACATAATTAAATAATGAATTTAACAATATTAATCAGAAAGACAATGAGCAAAATGTATGTGCATTTGTATGTGTTTGTGTGTGTGTGTGTGTGTGTGTGTGTGTGTGTGTGCAAGTGTGTATGTGTGTGTAGGCGTTCATGCATGTATGAATGGTATGATGGATGGATACCTTATGTTTGTGTCAGGGCTGTCTTAACGAATAGACCCACTGGACACTTGCCCAGCAGCCCAGCAGCCCAGCAGCCCCACAAGTATTGAGGCTCAGTGCTAATCTCTCTCTCTCTCTCTCTCTCTCTCTCTCTCTCTCTCTCTCTCTCTCTCTCTCTCTCTCTCTCTCTCTCTCTCTCTCTCTCTCTCTCTCTCTCTGTGTATGTGTTGAGCGACTTGCCATTCAAAAAAAATCTGTCCTGTGTGTTGTTGTCATAGAACCCCAGCATACAGGTTTGCCTAGGGACCCCTGATGCTGTTAAGATAGCTCTGGTTTGAATGTGTGTTTATATGTGTACATAAACTACCACACAGTAGTATACATGCACCATAATTATACTAAATAAATGTATTGGCCAGTTTAAATAATAACAATAAATATAATCTAAATATACATGTATAAATTTTCTTATTATGAATTATCTTTCCAGAATTGTTTATTTGCCCAGTCTGTCTTTAACAAAACTGTAAACCTCAGACAAGCAGGACTCTGCACTGTTTAACTGCACAAAAATATAGATTATTATATCACCATGGAAGCCCCCTTTGCCGAAATGAAGCTTGACTTGCACACCTGCATCCTGCAGTCGCCTGGCATATAAAAATCCATCATCTCGGAGCACATCAAATTCACAGACCTGAACAAATGCTGGAGGCAGGCCAGTCAAATCAGGTGCCATCAGCGGAGAAAACAGTGGGTCTGCGACAATGTCTTTGATTTGTGCGTAAACTTGGGCGTCGTAGTCAGAATGTATAGTTGGACGAGGGTTCTTTGGTGTTTGATACTGTGGAGGCAGCAGTTTAACGTCCACAAAGGAAGCAAGTTTGGATTTCCTGACATCAGCAGGGATGTGTCTGTTCTCACTGATCACAGTTGTAAAGTGATCTATATTTTCTCTGTCTGGTGATTACAAAAAAAATATTTCAATTGTAAAGTTTTGGGACTGTCTGACTGACTTACTGACTTTCTACCCCAAAAGGACATCACACAAGCGATAAACACCCGATGACACAAAGTGCCACCATGTGGATGAGGATCGCCGTGGAGAGGTCCCAGAAACCGTGTTCAGACAATTGGCCATATTTATGGCCTGCCTATATTGCGGCCCCTAGCAAAAGCCAGGGTGAGGCTTCAAATAACAAAAAAATTTTGTCCTGAAAAGGACAAAATTAATATGTGAAGATAAGTTTTGGGAGACAAAAATATGAGGTTATGTAAACCCACAAAGAGGAGTAACTCTTACTACTTTTCCTACTTCAGTGTACGAGCAGTGTATTTGTATTTAGAAAATGAAGACACACAAAATATATTGCACAATTCATTGCCTGGCACATTCTGCTGTATCTTGTCAGGTATATTACTACAACATCCTCATCAAGTGCCTTGCAGACTGGCATATGTGATCATGCTTCTCCACAATCTTCTCTCGTCTGTTCTCCTTTTCCACAGACCTTTCCAGTGGTACCAACATGTTCCCCTTTCCTTTCCCATAATATGTTCTGATGTTTTTGATAAGCTGTTTTTGAACCCTTTCCTCTTTCACAAAATATTTCTATAAAATTTACAATAGCATATAATGCATAAAAAGAGTAATGAAGATGTCTTGCAGGAAAATGGCTCACAGAGAGAACTGATTGTCCACATCAGAAGGAGACAGTCTACATTCTTTAGTCTTTTCATGACAAGGAGAAAACCATGACAGTGGGAAAGTTGGAGGGAAAGAACAGCAGAGGGAGACTGAGAGAGGATATGCTAGACAGTTAGGACTTCATGACATGAAGGATCATATGTGTCAGAGAGGATAGTAAGGACATAGGACAGAAGATTGTGGATAGACATGACTACCAACACCATCCAACATGAACGTTATGCCAAATGATTCCTTCTAATTGGTTTTTGTTACCTTTAAAAAAAAAAAAAACCAGCTGCTGCTGTTAACTCACCATAAAGTGTCTAGAAAATTAGGTGTTACTGCCCACAAAATGTAAATTACAGTAGCGCTGAAAAAATCTCCCCACAAAGTGTAATTACGGTAGCACTGAAAAAATCTCCCCACAAAGTGTAATTACAGTAGCACTGAAAAAATCTCCCCACAAAGTGTAATTACAGTAGCATTGAAAAAAATCTCCCCACAAAGTGTAAATTACAGTAGCACCGAAAAAAAAATCTCCCCACAAATTTTAATTACAGTAGTGCTGAAAAAACTCTCAAAAAGTGTAAATTACAGTAGCGCTGAAAATAAGTGATGTCTTTAAAAAAAAAAAAGTACCGGTACTGTGTACATTTGCATGTCATCAAAATAAAAAGCCCTAAATCACAGTATCTTCTTATCCTGCACTAAATCTTACTGTAGAAGTCTAAACTTAACCACCTGGTCCTTAACATAACTCAGCTGTGGTAGGGGAGTGGCTTAGAGGAGCAATATTTGACTAAACATCAACAAGACTGTTTATTTCCTGTTGTGAATGTTGTGGATTTTTACAAAACAACAAGAAGGAATACTCCAAACTGTTATAAGACAAATAACATAGCTATATATTGGGCACATTATGAGAATGTGAAAAAAATCCCAGCCCTTACTGGGGATTAAACCCGGAACCTCTAGCACTCGAGGTGGACACCATGCCTCAAGACCACTCTACGGAAGTAAACACAAGAACTTACAGAAGTATCTCTGTGCTCAGAAGGCAATTGTTTTGACACAGAAGGTGATTCTTTTGAAGGAAGCAAACCACGACTCAGACATATTAACCAACTATACAAAGCTATCAAGAAATAGCTTCACTTACAAATTTCATAAAGCAATCTAAAAATAGGCTTTTGAAAATGGCCATTCAGCCTGGATTCACCACTTTTGTAATATAGTCCGGGGTTCTTTGACACAGCACGGCTAGTGCTAGTGCTGTCACCACAGTCTGTATAGATTTTTTATCCCCCCCCCCCCCCCCCCCCCCCCAACAGATAAACATTACCAAGAATTTGAGCCTGGGTCTCCTTCTAGCAATTCCCCTTGGTCTCTATGTAGTCAGATCAGATAGCCTTGTGCATTATTATGCACATAAAAAATCCCATGGCAGTTGGAAATCGAAAAAGAGTAGCCTAGCGGTGCTGCCCATGCAAAATTTGGAGTTAAAAATCTACAGAGCCCAGCATTTTAACCATTCAGCCAGCTGCTCCTCAGAAAAAACTACATACTTATTTCATGAAACCAACAAACAAATCAATTATACTTACTGACTCCCATATAGTAAGCGTAAAAAGCAGCCATCTGGTCTTGTGTCAGAATCGGCACTGACTGGTTTAGATCGATATATGAAGGCAGGTGCAGGTCGAAGGCTTGCATTGCTGGGTAGTGGATAATCTGAAAAAGTAAGCGAGGCAGGTCCGGCTCCCTGGTAAGTTTCAAAGCCACAGAAGCTGCTAGATTTCCACCAGCACTATCGCCTGCATGAGAAGAATAATGAAAATACAAGTATTTATGATCATATTCACTTGCTTTACTATGTAGTGTGAGCTGATTTTAAGCATTAATAGAGTAGTATGAGAGATATATCTTATTCTTTACGTCCTTCTTAGGACGTTATTTTTTGTTATTTGAAGCCCCACTCTGGCTTTTGCCAGGGGCCGCAATATAGGCAGGCCATCAATATAGCCAATTGTCTGAACGCGGTTTCTGGGACCTCTCCACGGTGATCCTCATCCGCATGGTGGCACTTTGTGTCATCGGGTGTTTATCGCTTGTGTGATGTCCTGGTGGGGTAGAAAGTCAGTCAGTCAGTTAGTATGAGAGAAAGTCTACTTCTTATTATCACCGTTACTTGCCTTGCTTTGTAGTGTGAGCTGATATTCAGGATTAATAGAATAGTATGAGAGATAGTTTACTTCTTATTATCACCGTTACTTGCCTTGCTTTGTAGTGTGAGCTGATATTAAGGATTAATAGAATAGTATGAGAGATAGTCTACTTCTTATTATCACCATCACTTGCCTTGCTTTGTAGTGTGAGCTGATATTCAGGAATAATAGAATAGTAGGAGAGATAGTCTACTTCTTATTATCACCGTTACTTGCCTTGCTTTGTAGTGTGAGCAGATATTAAGGATTAATAGAATAGTATGAGAGAAAGTCTACTTCTTATTATCACCGTTACTTGCCTTGCTTTGTAGTGTGAGCTGATATTCAGGATTAATAGAATAGTATGAGAGAAAGTCTACTTCTTATTATCACCATCACTTGCCTTGCTTTGTAGTGTGAGCTGATATTCAGGATTAATAGAATAGTATGAGAGAAAGTCTACTTCTTATTATCACCGTTACTTGCCTTGCTTTGTAGTGTGAGCTGATATTCAGGATTAATAGAATAGTATGAAAGATAGTCTACTTCTTATTATCACCGTTACTTGCCTTGCTTTGTAGTGTGAGCTGATATTCAGGATTAATAGAATAGTATGAGAGATAGTCTACTTCTTATGATCACCATCACTTGCCTTGCTCTGTGGTGTGAGTTGATTAAGGATTATTGCTAGAGTATGAGTTTTCTGAGGACTTCTTCTTCGCATTCACTAACTCTAAACTCTGGTGGAAAGTTGTAGAGTTGTTCATTCACTTTTAGAGATTAAGTTTTATTCTATCACCTGTGTTTTGTGTGCACATCCTTTTGACAGATCTGGGTTGTTTATATGCAGACTTCTGGTTCCTCGCTTCTCAGGCAGATACACTTTGACTTTGAAGGAAAGATTAAGTACTAATACTATAGTATGAGGTGAAAAGAATAAGAAAGGAAAATTCAGGAGGATAAGAGGATGACAGTTCGCTGATAGGTTTCAAGTCCACCAAAGCTGCAAAATTCCAACCAGAGCTATCACCTGCAAGAGATAAATTGAATATAACATTTATCATCAGCATCAACATTTGTCTTGCCTGATGGTGTGTCAGTGACAGCCAATGCTACAATGAGAGGTGAAATGAAACAGGAGGAGGCCCTGTATGTGTTCTGGGGCCCCATTGAAAGGAGGAAAAAATAGACCTACTGAGTTCCCCACCCCCAAACACCCAATAAGGGATGCTCCTTTGTAGTCAGAGTACATCTGCCTGAGAGGTGAGGAACCAACAGTCTGCATACAAGTAAGCCAGATCTGTCAAATGGATGTGCACAAAAACTCAGATTCTTGAACAAGATTAAAGTCCAGAAGAGGATGAGTAACCAGAACTTTCTGCCGGGGCTTACAGCCAGTAAACTCAAAGGTTTACAAATCCTCTTTATTTACAACCAGAGACAGTCTCGTTATTAAAGACAATAGACTAGGTTTCATTCAAATTAGATAATTGAAATTGTCTAGTTCTCTGATTTGTAAGCAGTAATCAACACACACACACACATATATATATATGTTTATATATATATATGTGTGTGTGTATGTGTGTATAAATATAAATATGTATACATATATAGAGAAAAGGAGTGGCTGACCAAACAGTTAAGAATACAGAGCTCTCATGTGGGAAACCCAGGTCCAAATCCATGGTAAAGTTTGGGATTTTTCTGTCGGGGGCAAAAATGAAATCCAAACCAGCACAATCTATGGCTACGGCACTACCCATGCAGTGCTAAATCTTCAGGCTGAAACACACCCCTGCCTACACCACAGTAGTGGTAAAAGTGGTAAATACAGCTAGTAACAGCCATTTCTAGCCAATTTCAGTACTCTATTGTCCATTTAGAATTTCACAAAATTCATTAACATTTTTTAAAATTAGTAGACAACATACCTGCCACACCAACTTTAGTAACATCTATGTTATATTTAGCACCATGTTGTAAGATAAAACGGGTTACATCAATGCAGTCCTGAACAGGCGTAGGAAATGGATGTTCCGGTGCCAGGCGGTAGCTGTGTGAGAGAAAATAAAGGTTAATTTTACATCTCAGAAAACTATGAGCAGTTTGTAATGTATGAGTAAGCAAGTGTGAATTGTAGTTTAGCAACATAAACAAAGAGATTTTTATAAGTGGCCAGATGCATGCCTGTTGGAACAAACGAAACAAGCAAATCTGAATTCACCTAAGGCAAAATTGAATTATAGGCTTTGGCTCCTAGATTGACCCAGCTAAAATTTGGTACCAGGAAATGTTCTGGATAGTAAAGGTGGCCAGCATGATGTTGATTACATAAATTATCTGGTGCTGATTGGTTTACAAATATATTCTTCTTGTTATTCTCGTTCTCCTTGCCAGAGGTTTTATCTCTTTGAGTCCCAAGGAACGCATCATACGTTCATAGGTTACTGCCTAGAAGTGCAGTGAACGCATGATGCGCGGATTTTACGTCTCTTTTGACCACCCCTTGGGCTTGTGATGCTAAGCCCTCTGAGACTCAAAGAGTTAAGATTAGAAAGCCACAGGCCTCTATGAAGTCTGTGGTGTGACACAGGTCTTCCACTGTCTCATACAGCTTGGTTTCCATTGGAATGCCAACTGGCCAAACTGGGGATTCTACTGCATACAAGGAATATGTCTGTAGCACATGTTCAGTATTCTGTGGTGCCTGTCCACATCGGCCAAGTTCTGAATCCCCAAACATTTGTCTGCAGTCTGTTGTTTCTAGCCCAGATATATGAATCTAGTCTGATGGGTCAACGGCGTAAAAAAGATTCTTTACCTCAGTTTTATTAATGGGATTAAAACAATATCAAGATAAGTGATAATACAGTAATTTGATATAGTTTATTTTTTGAAAAAAAACACTTAATATAAGTTAAACATCAGATATTTCTTAAAGCCTCTGCAGTAAGCGAAAAAAGACTGATAGACTTGCAGGTTTGGCTTTTGTGAAGGGCAGATAAGCCATGAACAAACCAGAAAGTTTTCAGACTAAATGTTCAAGGAGAATCCTGTAAGTATTCTGGCCAAAAGATATCACAGATGAAGACACCAGAAGGAAAACAAAATTCTTATTTCTGGGAAATATTAACTTAGGATGAAGATGGTGATAGCTTGGAGAATGTTTGCACAATGCCTCTTGACACTTTGACAACAACAGCTCTTCAAATGATGGCATTGAAGGAAGAAAATGCAGATGGCTTAGACATGTTGTCAGAATGCCTCATGACACTTTGGCAAGGACAGCTCCCTGATTAATGGCAAATAGACAAAAGGAGACGTGGATGATCTTAGGAAACTATGGAAAAGACAGTAGAAAGAGAAAAAAAAATGTAAAAATTACATAGGATACCACAGGCAGAAAAGCAGCAGACTAGCAGTAAGGGAGATCACTTGGGAATGCCTTATGATGAGGTGAAAAATTCCCCATCAGCCACTGGGTAACACATTTTTTAATTCTGGGCACATTGTAAATAAGGAAGATGCATTGCAAGTTTTTTTTTACTTTAGCCAACCATAGATTATTGAGATTTGTGGAAGCAACTGTTATAATCTGGTTTAGTCCAAAATTATGCAGACAAAAGGACATGCTCTTCACCTTTCGTTTACCCTGATGAAACAGTTTTCTGAATGTAGTCAAATTTGTGTTTCAGTTTGAGGGATTCTTTTATATGCTTCATTTTAGTATGATGCACTAGATGTTAGGGCTCAGTAATCATCATCACCACCATTGACGACATGCCACCACCATCATCATCATCATACTGGTTTGTCTTTTTCGCCTTAAGGCGGACAGGGAACAAGTGTTTCCCTGCCACAACATCATCATCATCCTCATCGCCGATGTGCCATCGCCACAGTCACCTTTCATTTTCTCTATTATACTTTGTAATGCATTAATGTATATAATTATGCATGGGGAGTTCCCCAAAAGTAACATCATCCTCATCCTCATCGCCGATATGCCACCACCATGATCACCATGTTTTTTTTCACATGCTATGAATGCATTTGTATATTTATGTAATATGAATATAATCATCATCATACTCATCGCCGATATTCCATCACCATGATCACCACGTTTCTACCCTTTACATGCTATAAAATGTATGTATATAGGATATAAATATTTGCATATGTAAGCATGTATGTATATATGTATGTATAATGTATGTATGACATAATGAAATGAACAAAACAATGCGTATATGTATTTTCAAGGGAAACAAAGTCTCTTGACGTTGTCTCGCCAACAAACATACGAGTGGTGTCCCTTTCTTTCTAAGTCCAGCCCCAATTTGTCCTTTTCTGCCTCGCTGTCCTATTTCCTGTCATTTTGTTTTGTTGGTAATCATAATATGCATTGTTTTTCTACCACCCATGTTTTTCATTTAACACCTCATCATACAGCTGCTTTTGTTAGCCCATCAACACATGTCACCAGCATCAATGAGCGGTCGCCCCACCCCCTATCGCCCCCACATCCTTTTCTGCCTTCTCCTCTCCCTACAAAGATGCTTGGTGACATGGAGTCTAATAAAAACATCATCGCCAAGTTAAATAAATGCATGTACATTATCATTGAAACGTACCGTGCCCACTGACAAACGAATAGCCCCTGCTTTCCTCAATACCCCCTTTCATTTCTGCCTCCCCCTGTCTCTACTCTCTTTTCAAAGTCAGTGGAAAACGGTACGACTCATCATTTTATTCACATCATCTTATTGATTTTGCTTTTGTTTCAAAAGAGATTTGTACAATATGTTTCAACAATAAACACTTAAAAAAAAAAAAAAAATTTTTGTATGTTACTGCAGCATGCCAGGCAATAAATTGTGCAATTTATTGTTTATGTCTTCTTTTCTCAAATTCACAATGGGGGAAAATTGCTTTGAATGCCTCATATGTTAACAGGAACACAAAGAGATCTATAGATTAGCAATGAACTAGGCTGATACACTTAATGCCCAAGGAGAACTAAGATGATTATATAGATCAAGTGTGATTAAGAATCTGTAACCATGACCAGACTACAAGAATAGCAGATAAATCTAGACAAAAGCGCTAAACACAGTGCCAAAGAAGAATAGTAAACTAACTCAGAACTGATATCATAAACCACTACTACAGAGGGTTATAATGAGTAGGGGATCTAAGGGCTAAAAGACTGAATGGTTTGATGAGCAATGAGGATGATCTGTTAACTATGTAGCTGGGCTGTTTGCTTCTTATTCTGAAGCTTATATAAGGTTGAAAGAGTTTCTAAAATTTGCTCATGTTGGACTTGTGCCCAAATAGTGGCTCTTGAAGTCATTATGTGTAAATTTTTTTCAGGCTGTAGTCACAGACAAGAAAAGTGGAGTACATCATGACAACCAGAAGGATTGGGGGGGGGGGGGGGGGGAGACCCAGAGAGAGAAGATGCTAGACAGTCTGACATCATGACATAGAGGATCATCTGTATCAAAGTTAACTGAAAGTGCACGAGACAGAAGGTCGTGGGTAAACGTGAGTACCGACATCACACGGCATGAAATTTTAAAAAAGAAGTCCCAGGTAGAAAATCTTTTAGCATGACCAGGACATTTTTGTGTGATGAGCAATGGTATAAAGTTCCCTCACTTTTCTTTTGTGGTGAGCAATGGTATAAAGTACCTGCACTTTTTTTTGTGTGGTGAGCAATGGTATAAAGTACCCACACTTTTTTGTGTGTGGTGAGCAATGGTATAAAGTACACATACTTTTTTTGTGGTGAGCAATGGTATAAAGTACCCGCACTTTTTTTGTGGTGAGCAATGGTATAAAGTACCCGCACTTTTTTTTTGGGGGGGGGGGGGGGTGAGCAATGGTATAAAGTACCCGCACTTTTTTTTGTGGTGAGCAATGGTATAAAGTTCCAGCACTTTTTTTTTTTTTGGTGAGCAATGGTATAAAGTTACCGCACTTTTTTTTTGTGGTGAGCAATGGTATTAAGTACCCGCACTTTTTTTGTGGTGAGCAATGGTATAAAGTTCCCGCACTTTTTTTTTCTAAGGAACAATTTTTTTTTAATGGCATGTAATAGATACTTTGTCATGGGTACAGGCACCTTTTTTTCCCTAAGTAAAAAGACATGTGCAAGACTATCATGATGTACCACAACAAGTGACTGAGACAGAAAAGATCTCCCCCCACACACACACACTCACTCACACACCCACAGAAACATGTGCATGCACTCACGCAAAACCACACAAACAAGATAACTGTAGACTTACTCAACATTAATAATAACTGTTCCAGTTTTGACTGCATATTCATGCATAAGAGTGTCATACATATCTGTAAAAGATGCAAAAACATTGTTGAAACAAATAAAATATTGTCAGATTTTTCTCATTTGTAATTAAAAAAAGAGATGAGGATGGTCTCAGGAAAGATTGTTTGCAGTTTCTCTGGTCATTTCTAAAACTGTAATCTTCTTTTACAAACTCCGATGATCATTATCAATCAACAGGTTCTTTAAAGAACGTCACTTTTGTCATGACCCGCTTGAAAGTCTCTCTTTCTCTATCCAGTTCTCCAGCCCTATGTGCTTTCATAGCAAATGCATCTTTTAATGTCTTGCATCCACCTTCATGGGGGTTGGCATCTGCCTTATTCTCTTGAAACTGCATCCTTCATTACAATTCTTTCGAGGCCACTGTGAAGTTTAACACGGCCAAAATACCTAATTATCAGGACAGAATGCTGTTTTTGAGCCACTTCTTCTCAGTGTATATATATATAGATGTAGGGTATTTGTGTTTTTCTTCTTCGTCTACAGTATTCTAAAAATTTGTCTGTAGCATTTCCATTCCAATTTTATTGTTCTTTAAAGATTGAGTAAGAGTCCATGACTGACATCTGTTAGTTGCTATAGGAAAGATGCATGAACTCAAAATGTTTACTTTAACCACTACAGCTCCAGCTGACCGGCCATGCTGCTGACGTCACGGGGTCGGGCTAACAATGCATTAACGCCGGTCATGCTTTAACTCACTTGAGGGTGCTGGGCTATGATACATGTTAGAATGAGCTTTAACTCGTTTGAGGGTGCTAGGCTATGATACATGTTAGAATAAGCTTTAACTCATTTGAGGGTGCTAGGCTATGATACATGTTAGAATGAGCTTTAACTCACTTGAGGGTGCTAGGCTATGATACATGTTAGAATGAGCTTTAACTTACTTGAGGGTGCTAGGCTATGATACATGATAGAATGAGCTTCAACACACTTGAGGGTGCTAGGCTATGATACATGATAGAATGAGCTTTAACTCACTTCAGGGTGCTAGGCTATGATACATGATTGAATGAGCTTCAACTCACTTGAGGGTGCTGGGCTATGATTCATGATAGAATGAGCTTCAACTCACTTGAGGGTGCTAGGCTATGATACATGATAGAATGAGCTTCAACTCACTTGAGGGTGCTAGGCTATGATACATGATAGAATGAGCTTTAACTCACTTGAGGGTGCTGGGCTATGATACATGATAGAATGAGCTTTACCTGCACTGCAAGTAACCCAGCCTCCTCCATGGAAGTAAACAATTGCAGGATATAGACCAGAGTTGTCCTTAGGTTGATAGACAATCACTGGTACGCCTGCTATTGTATCCCTGGTGACCTGCACATGAACATTTAGAGAAAGGCATATACTGTTACAGAACCTTGCTGCTGACTTGCACAGAATACGTTCACTGTGTGTAAACATGTTATTTCTTGTTGCATGGTGTAGTTGTTGTTGTTGCTGCTTCTTCTTCTTCTTCTTCTTTTTCTCTTCTTCCTCCTCCTCCTCTTTTTCTTCTTGTTTTATTTCCTCTTCTTCTTCTAGTTCTTCTTTATCTTCTTCATCCTCTTCTCTTTCTCTACTTCTTCCTTCATTTTTTTCCCTTCATCTTTTTTCATCTTTTTATTCTTCATGCTCCTCTTCTCCTTTTTTTTTTTGTTCCTCTTCTTTTTCTTCCTGTTCTATTTCACTTTCTTCTTCTGCTACTTCTTTCTCTTCCTCATCCACTTTTGCTTTTTCTCCTATTTTTCCTTTTCTTTTTTTTTCTTTCTTTTCTTGTTCTTCTCCTCTGAGTGTCTAAGTGTGTGTGTGCATGTGCATGCGTGCGAGCGGGTGAATGTGCGAGTGTGTGTGTATGTGAGTGTGCATAGATGTGTGGATATATGAGTGTATGTGAATATATATATATGCATGTGTATGTATGTATGCATGAATGTGAAAATATTTGTGATTGTATGATTGGGGGGGGGGGGGGGGGGGGGTGTGGCTTGTGTGTGTGTATATATTTGTAGGTATCAGTGCATGTATACGAGTGTGTGTGAATGTATGTTTGAGTGTGTAAATGTATGCTGATATGTGATAATGTTTGTATGAAAGTGTATCTATGAGTGTGAATGTATGTATGTGAATGTATTGTTTTGTGTATATATTATTGAGTCATAATCATCATCCTGTAACACTGTATGTCATTGCATTACCAGTTGCTGTTGATGGTCTGATCAGCTCACTCCATCTTTGATGGTCAGTTGCAACTGACCTCATAGTTGCATGCCTAAGGCCTGTCCATATGGACTTTGGCTTTGTGCCAAGACCTGAGTTTTGCATGTACATTCCTTTAACTGGCTTATTTGTGTGCAGCTTGTTTTTCCTTACCGCTCGTGCAGATGCATTTCGACTTCAAAGGAAGTCCCCAGTTAGTCGACTCTTGTGACATGCTTGCTGGGGAGGCAGTGGGTCTATTCTTGTTTTCTCCCACAATGGGGCTCAGGAAACCACACGGGGTAGTGAAGTTTTATATGCAGGCCTTTCTTTGTCTGCCTCTTCTCTTCTACCCAAAGAGGGCCTCAGTCACATGTAAATTGCGGATGTCAGGCGACTACTGCCACCGCTGAGAGTATCTCCTGCAACGCTACGTGCGGCTCGGAGCAGGGCTAAACTAGATGACAGGGACTCACAAGCAAATAAAATGAAAGAAGCTGCAGAAGCTGCGGTAGCTGCTGCTCGTGGTTTTTCTCAGAGATCTCATTTCAAATGCTTATACCTTTTTTTTGAGTTCCGCTGTTTAGGTCCACTTTGCACAGTGATATAAACATACTAATAACTAGCACTGCTGAACACACCGAACTAAAACTAAGAAGCTCAATGATGGAGGGAAGGGGAAAAGTCGTACACAGGAAAACAATTTAATCGAATATTTCAGTGAAAGCATTTATTTACGAACCTACAACAATGACAGACTGAATCACGGACATTAACGTTACTGTCTCAGGGTTTAAGCCAGTGTTTTTTAACCTCTTCACACCCAAGGAACAGTAAAATCTGAGAAACTGGTCCACGGAATACCTGATTTCTAACACTGAAAAATGTAGATAGCTGTTTTTTTTTTTTTTGGTAGGAATAGCTGGCCAAGCGTTTATAACACTGGGATCTCATACGGGAGATCTGAGTTTGACAAGTCTGGCAAAAATACAAATCGTTTTTCTTTTCTGTTATTCCACCACATCTAGGGGCCTTTGAGATTTGGTATGTCCCATAGTATTAACACTAGGGCTAGTGTTAAATAAATAGCAACTACTACTACCCTAACACACTCCCCCCCCCCCCCCATACTATAAGACATTATGGGGATTTCCTTACCAAATCTCGAAGGCCCCTAAATGTCCCAAAATAACAGAAAATAACTGATTTGTATTTTTGCCCTAGAGAAAAAATTCTCCATCCCTTATTGACGATTGAACACTGGTCGCTCCCATGACAGTTCAGTGAACTGACCACTCAGTCCATTGTTCCTCCACCATATAAGAAACATCGACAAAACACCATAAGAAAAGCTAAGCACATCAGCAAGAGCAATAAAACAACAGACAAAAACAGAAACAACTAAAAACTATCACCAGCAAAACAGAAAAGCAAGGCACAACAATGCAACACATACAAAAACCAGAACAGTACCAACCTTGAGATCTCCTATAGCTGCTGATTTTGGTGGATCGTCTGTTTTAGGTGTGAGAAAATGTAACTTCACATTTTGGTACGGGCTTCCGTAACCCAGGTATTCCTGTACAGTGCGCTGAAAAATTAGAAACATAAATAAAGTAAAAGACACTTTCCCTGCCATTAGGCACATCTGGTGTTTTATACTAGACCTCTATTTTCAGTCTAACTGGTACTGGGTGGGTGATGTGGTCAACATCCCGCCGGCACCCTTTTCTTCCCAGGACTGGTATCCATTTAAGGTTGGGTCAACTTTGGCTATTTAATAACCAACCCACACATGCATGTCTGCACAAGACAAAGACAGAAAGAGAGAGTGGTGGAAGGGGGATGAGCAGTGGAGTTGCAAGGTTAAGTTGCATCCGGTGGGGACAGTTTCCATCAACTTTACTGTCACACTCCTACCCTTTCCATTTTATATATATATATATATATATATATATATATATATATATATATATATATATATATATATATATATATATATATATAATATATATATATATATATATAATATATATATATATATATATATATATATATATATATATATATATATATATATATATATATATATATATAGAGTTTGAGAACCGCTGCTCTAAAGGATATGAACTAACATTTTTCCATAAGCTGGTTTCATAAGCAACCTTTGCCACTGAGCACATTCTGTGAACACATCTATATCCTATCATTCCATTCAGCTTACTGTCGCTGCAAGTCTATGACTGACATCCCTGCACTTGAGAATTTCTGCACATGCTCCATTACCTTCTTCTGTAACTAACAAAGAGTCCACATGTTGATAGTACCATTTGCTTCTTCAACTGCAAACATGATTAGACCAGTATTCAGGAAATATGCAGCATGTTCACAACGCCTAAGCCACAGACACTGACTGTGATGGCTTATGTGGTGGCTTATGTGATGGCTTATGTGGTGGCTTATGTGATAGCTTATGTGGTGGCTTATGAAACATGAGTCTATTAGGAACAATCAAGTGCAATCTCCTCAAGAAAGGCTGGATTCATCAGATCTCCAACACACCGTCTATTACCATAAATTTACACTCTTTCAGACTACTGTTTATTTATTTTTTAGATATCATCCTCCCACTTGTGTCTGGTCTACCTATTGTTCGCATGTCTTTAAGTTTCCTTCCAATGTAGTTTTTAATAAGGTTTTTATGACTTTATGTTTGTCACTTGTCTCATTGCCTTTTTTTTTTTTTAAATCAGAAAGTCTCTTTTCCATTCAGATTTTCTCCAGAATTTGACTGGGTTTTCTTTTCTCCATGAAATACAATCACATTTTAAGTCTATACTGGTGTTTATCAAGTGTTTTGATCCTAATTATAGATCATTAATTATGCCATTCAAAGCAGATTGCCAGGTGGAGACGGTCTAAAACAGGTATCACAAAATATATATGCTCTACTTCACACAAATTTGCTTAATTTTTTCTTCACTTCACTTTACTTCACTTCAATTAATTTTACTTAACTTAACTTCACTTTACTTCACTTCACCTCACTTTACTTTTCCTTACTTCGCTTCAATTTACTTCACTTTAATTCACTTTACTTTACTTTAACTTTACTTCACTTTACATCACTTTACTTCCCTTTCACTTCACTTCCTTTTACTTTACTTAATTTTACTTCACTTTACTTTAATTCACCATACCTCATTTTACTTTACTTCACTTCACATTACTCCACTTCAGTTCATTTTATTTTACTTCACTTTACTTTCCTTTCACTTCACTTCCTTTCACTTTACTTTACTTAATTTTACTTCACTTTACTTGAATTCACCTTACCTTATTTTACTTTACTTCACTTCACTTTACTCCACTTCATTTCATTTCATTTTACTTCAGTTAACTTCACTTTACTTCATTTCATTTTACTTACCTTTACTCCATTTCAGTTCACTTTACTTCATTACATTTTATTTTACTTTACTTTGCTTTACTTGACGAAGCTAGTGGGGTTTAACAAACCAAACAGACAAACACACAGAAAGAAAACCAAATGCAATATTTACCACAGCTCTCAGCAGTTTCAAAATGCCCATAGCAACCTGAACTTTAATGGGGTTTTCTAGCCCTGTAGGAAGTGGGTGGTACCCTATAATAGCCACGCCCAATATGGTCAAGGTAATAACGGTGACCAGTCCCTGAAGAAACATGGCTGCAACTGAAGAAAAGGGAAAACAAATTATATATATATATATATATATATATATATATATATATATATATATATATATATATATATATATATATATATATATATATATATATATATATATATATATAAACATATGTGTGTATGTGTAAATGTGTGTATGTGTATATGTGTGAATGTGTGTATGTGTATATGTGTGTATGTGTATATGTGTGTGTAGTGTGTGTGTTTAGACAGTATATAGACAGTAATGTTCATTGTTAACCATGCAGAGAGATAACACCTTCCATGTAGCAGGTAAAAAAAAATGTAAAGAACACCTTTTCCCCGCCCTTATGCATATTGGGCATATAGGGCTAGACCTATATATAGACCAACAGGCACTGGGTGGGTGGTTTGCTCAGCATCACACCAGCCTGCTTTACTTCCCAGGACTGTACCTCGCACCCACCTAAGGCTGGGTGGCTAACCCCATTTCCTGTGGGCAGAAGGACAACACCATTGTTACTTCAGCGAGTGACACAAACTATTCTCCATACAGCAGAAAAAAAAACATAATTTTTTCCTATAAAAATTCTCAAACATCAATTTCCTACAGCAAATGACATACACTTCTTCCTACAGATGATGAACACTATTCTCCGTATAGCAGATGATGAACACCATTCTCCGTATAGCAGATGATGAACACCATTCTCCGTATGGCAGATGATGAACACCATTCTCCCTGCAGCTGCTGACATATACCATTCTCTATACAGCAGGAGGTAAACACCGTTATTCCTAAAAGTGTCAAATATCAATTTAAGTGACCCATATATTGCTGAACAGGATTGTTTTATGTACAAATATAGTTTTTCTCTGTGTGTGCGCGTGCGTGTATGTGTGTGAGTGTGAGTGAGAGAGCGAGAGAGAGAGAGAAAACGAACGAACGAACAAACTTTATTTTCAAAGGGTTACAAATTGGACACGCAGGCCTGTCTGACATTCGGCCCTTCTAAGTACTAATTTTTCAGAGTACCAATACCTGTTAACAATAATGCATGTTATGGATATAATAAAGAAATATAAATTATAGAATAATGCATACATACATCATGTGTACACAATCGTACACACTCACACACGCCTATACATACTCTCACGTTCTCATACATGGGAACTCCTTTACAGACATAGGTGATACAAACACACACACGTCTACATACATATACAAACATAAAATACATAGACATCAATGCACAAACAGAAAACATACATTTATGGATTTACATGCACACACACACACACACATTCCATACATACACACCTATACGTGCATCCATGCATGCAACACATATACAATCACATGTACAGACACCAAATTATGCCCACAACCACACATTTACACCTACATGAATACATACACCCACATAATGCATACATACATTCACACATACATGCATACATACACACATTTATACATACACTCACATCTTTACACACACACATACATACATACCTAAATACACACATATACACCCACATACTTACACAGCATACATACATCCACCAGCATGCATACATACATAGAGAGAGAGAGAGAGAGAGAGAGAGAGAGAGAGAGAGAGAGAGAGAGAGAGAGAGAGAGAGAGAGAGAGAGAGAGAGAGAGAGAGAGAGAAGACTTTATGTAACAATCACAGGTCGTCAACACAAAGATAGATATTCAGACAGGCTGGCTGGCACTCGGGACAAACCGTTATGCTGAAAAATAAGCTGACAGACATCCAGATAATGGCAAAGAGGTCAAGACAGGTTAATACAGAATCAAACAGACAGGCGAGCAGGCTGACATACATAACAGCAAAGTCACTTAAATAGACAGGGTCCAGGCTAAAACAGACAGGCTGAGTCGTAAAGTGGACAGATGATATGCTGACGATAAATTCGATATACACAGAAGATGACTGAAAGACTGACATTTGGACTAACAGACATGTAAACAGACAAACGTGCAAGCAGTCAGAGAAGTGGATGCACAGACCTACAGCTGGTAGACGTGCAGATCAGTGTTGCCACTTTTGTTTGACAAAAAACATCCAAAACGGAGTCAAAAAATATTTTTTAAAATCTAAATTTGCGTGGAAAACATCTAGAAAAAAACATCCGAATGGAAAGAGTCACAAATTACATAGCAATTAATATGACTTACCCTATAGAATCATGTCCTCATCTTTACTGGTCTGCCTTACAAGATCCACAGGATAAACTTAGCTTGGATGATGAAGTTGAAGCTTCAGATCCAAAATGACTCTGGTATGCTTTGACTGTTCCAATTTCTTGTAATACCCAATCAGGGAGCTGATAAGTGGAGCAGCTTTTTTCTACTCTTATCAGGTTAAATTTTATTGTCAAGATAGCATTTAGGAGGTCAAATTGTATCCTATTTCTGAGCTTATATTTGATAAATTCACTTCAAATGAAAAAAATCTAGAAAAATATCTACCATCTAAACGTCAAAAACGCCATCTAAATGCAAATGAAAACATCAAAATCTGGATGTAAAACATCCAAAGTGGCAACACTGGTGCAGATAGCAAACAAACGGATCAACTGACAGAAAGGCGGGCTGACAAAAAGCCCGACACAAACCTCTATGTGATGATGATAATATTAATTCTACGTCTCCTCCTCCACCTCTCCGTCTACTTCTTCTCCTCCTTCTTCTTCGTCTTTTTTCTTTTTCATCGTCTTTTCTCTTCTTCTTCATCTTCTTTTTCTTGTCCTTCCCTCCTCCTTCCCTTCTTCATCTTCTTCTTTGTCTTCTTCTTTATGACTTCTTTGGCATTCATCCTTCATAGAGCGTTTGTCATGTATTGTTGTTTACAAATAAGCTGCAGTATTTGCCCCTTTCGGTCCAACACATCTTATTTCAGTAAATACCTATTTGGTCGTCTTTTACGAAATACTTTTTTTGTTGTTGTTGTTGTTAGGGGCCAATGGTTCTAGTTTCATGGGCCCTGGAAAATACATAAAAACTAGCAAACAAGCAATCATTTCAGTAACTGAAGTCTACATACCTGCGATGATACTTTAACACAGCGACCGCCAAAATCACACAGCCTGTGTTCCGTTTCTAGTTTTCGATGCTACAGATTCTAGCAGTCGATTGAAACCACGCGATCGTTAATGTAATCCGCCTCCTGTGAAAATCAATGGTACAGGAAATACACACAGTACGCATAAAGTAAACAATAATAAGCTGAGGCATTGTATTTGTGTCATGCCTCGGTGCCTATGCATATACTGCATTTAAGGGTCGTATTCTCATAAATGAAGGAGCACTGTGCAGCACTTTGAGACACCAGGCAGACGACTTTAAGAAAGAGTATTTGACTTTGCCCTCTGTTGCTTATTCTGTATGTTATTCTTGTCTAGTGGACTATGGTTAAACTGGACAAGACTGTGTGCAAGTTAAACTGGACAAGACTGTGTGCAAGTTAAACTGGACAAGACTGTGTGCAAGTTAAACTGGACAAGACTGTGTGCAAGTTAAACTGGACAAGACTGTGTGCAAGTTAAACTGGACAAGACTGTGTGCAAGTTAAACTGGACAAGACTGTGTGCAAGTTAAACTGGACAAGACTGTGTGCAAGTTAAACTGGACAAGACTGTGTGCAAGTTAAACTGGACAAGAACGTGTGCAAGTTAAACTGGACAAGAACGTGTGCAAGTTAAACTGGACAAGACTGTGTGCAAGTTAAACTGGACAAGACTGTGTGCAAGTTAAACTGGACAAGAACGTGTGCAAGTTAAACTGGACAAGACTGTGTGCAAGTTAAACTGGACAAGAACGTGTGCAAGTTAAACTGGACAAGACCGTGTGCAAGTTAAACTGGACAAGACTGTGTGCAAGTTAAACTGGACAAGACTGTGTGCAAGTTAAACTGGACAAGACTGTGTGCAAGTTAAACTGGACAAGACTGTGTGCAAGTTAAACTGGACAAGAACGTGTGCAAGTTAAACTGGACAAGACCGTGTGCAAGTTAAACTGGACAAGACTGTGTGCGGGTGTGAACCTCTGAACTTGCTCTGTCTATCTATCTATCTGCATGTCCGCCAGCCTGTCATTCTGTCTGTTTGTCCGTCGGTCTGTCATTTTGTCTGTCTGTCTGTCTGTCCGTCCACTTTAGGGTAACTATAAGCTCTATTTTCAGCGGGAAATTCCCCTTTTATGTGTGTTCCGGCCGTCCTATCTGTACCCCTCCTCCCCCCCCCCCCAAAAAAAAACCCCGCTAATTTTACCGTTTGAAAAAGAAATATAGGGATAAGTTAGAAAACAGAACATACACACTTATATATATATATATATATATATATATATATATATATATATATATATATATAGATATATATAACCATTTTTAGAGTTAATTGTTTTATATACTTTTAATAATAATAATTATAAATTCATCCATCCATCCATCCATCCATCCATCCATCCATCCATCCATCCATCCATCCATCCATCTATCTATCTATCTATCTATCTATCTATCTATCTATCTATCTATCTATCTATCTATCTATCTATCTATCTATCTATCTATCTATCTATCTATCTATCTATCTATCTATCTATCTATCTATCTATCTATCTATCTAATCCATCTAATCCATCTAATCTGTCTGTCTGTCTGTCTGTCTGTCTGTCTGTCTGTCTGCCTGCCTGTCTGTCTGTCTGTCTGTCTGTCTGTCTGTCTGTCTGTCTGTCTGTCTGTCTGTCTGTCTGTCTGTCTGTCTGTCTGTCTGTCTGTCTGTCTGTCTGTCTGTCTGTCTGTCTGTCTGTCTGTCTGTCTGTCTGTCTGTCTGTCTGTCTGTCTGTCTGTCTGTCTGTCTGTCTGTCTGTCTGTCTGTCTGTCTGTCCGTCCATCCGTTTGTCTGTCTGTCTATATGTCTGTCTATTTGTATGTTCGTATCTATGTATGTACGTACTCCCCCCCCCTCCACCCACTCCCCCC